AAATATACAACAGGCATCAGGATCGGGATCTAATCCCCCAACGACCTACTGTATACCAGGCGAGGTGTTAACTACCGATGGCCTGGCGATACCATCAGCGTTGGATGGATTGCGACTGATGTTAAGTCATGGTCATCATTTTGCCCATCAAGATAAGGCCATCGGTCTATAAATGTGTTTGCTTGTTTGTTTTATAGCAGGCAATGAGTAAATTCACTGAAGGGTTTCAGCCCTCGAGGAGAGAGCTTACATGAGATTCATGCAGCTTCTCAATCGGCACCTCAATGATGCATCGGTTTTATAAGAGTTCATTCTTAATTCATCGTTCAAGTAACTGTCCCAAGCGTTGTTAGTGGCCGGCGTATGAATAAGTCGATTCTCACTCTCGCGATACACCTTCCAAGTTGTATGCGAATCGACAAATGACAAGTCGTAGAAATGGCATGCGATTGAAACGTAAATATACATGAATTATTTTATTTTGCGGGAGCAATTGAGCAAACAAAAATGAATTGTACAAACAATATATATTTTTAACAGGCTTTTATGTAACTCACTCTGTCTGTTGTTGTTGTATCTTCAAATCTTGTAACTCAATTTTAACCCCCTTCCCAATATGGTATCGACTGAAAACTTCGTATACTTATGTCTTACTGATGACAATACCATATTCTATCATAAAAAATTTAAAAAAACACCTATTTTAAAATAATCTTTAAACACGCTTTCTATTAACTCACTGCGTCTGTTGTTGTTGTTGTCGTATCCTCAAATCTTGTCACTCAATTTTAACCCACTTCCCAATGTGCTATCGACAGCACACTTATGTCATACTGATGACAATACTATATTCTATAATTTTAAAATATATATTTTTAAACCATATTTTTTATATGTTAGGTTTCAGCTTGGGTCTAATTGTCCACGCTTAACTAACGTCGGCTGTAAATCACTATGGTCCCTTACGTCATGGCAAGCTTCGGGGCCACTTCCTGGAGTCGTGGAGTTTTGCCATTACTCGTACGGTACATTTCATTAAAGCGTGTTTTTAAAAAAAGGTATTTTTAAATATTACTTATTGGGGGTTTATTTTGTATTCACCAGGTCAGAACTCAAGAGACCAGGATGACGTAATTGGCAAGAGTCACCTGGGCCATGGGTCTGCCGGTAAGGAAGGGGGAGGAGGGAGGAGAGGCGATGACTGCTATTGCGTAATCCAAATTGAGTAATTATTTCCAGGAAATTTTGGAATTTGGTAAAAATTGAACTCCGATGCCGGTGCTCGATGGCCGGGCGATCTTTAATGTCCACCGTCTTCTTCTCTCGTACGGCTGCCGATGTAGATGAAGAGCCACGACTTACGATTTCACATTCAGGTGGTTCAAGCACAGAAGAAACGGAGTGTATCATCACTGTGACGTCTCCTTCGTATTTGTGGATCGGGGCATTGCGTCGTTATACATTGCACGGTCTGTTCTGGATTGCCAGTCGCACACTACTGGAGAGTTTTAAAACTTTCATTCGTGCATCGGGTATCCCGGCATCTACTGCCATGGTTTGTGCAGGAGATGCCGTTTTGGGGTGGACCAATTTCCACCGTGAGTGAGTCAGTCAGACAGAGCGTAGTATAAGTCCGACTTGTATACACACACACACACCGTACTATTGCCCATTCCCGTTCCGATGACGTACGTGTGCGTCATCATAAACGAACCGGAATAAAAACAGTACCGAGGCTCCCACACAAGGCCGTGCGGGAGCACGTGTAGCACAGTTTGTTGGCAGCTCGCATCGAGCATGGTCGTGTCGCTAAGTTTCTCCGCAGTGAGTAAGATGTCTTTACAAACTTTGGCGCCATGCCTCTCTGAATAGAATTAACGTTGAGCCGCTTGCGCGTTCCGAGATTTAGCAGTGAACGGGGACACCCACCACCCTGCAACTTGCAGACGTCTCAGAACGTGAGAAAAGGTTGATCAGGGCGGCCGCTGGATTCGAACTGGGAACCTCCATAACAAGCTCCGGACGCGCTACTGCTGGGCCGGCTGCGTTACCGCTCCAAGGCTAACACCACCACCGACACAACAACAATGGTAGTCGTCATAATTGTTATGCAAATGAGATGGTTAACACTAAATTATTATTTTTTAAATCTATTCTTTGAATGGAGACCATGCAAAAGTAATAACAACTTATCCAATAGATCGAATTGAGAAGTATGACCAACAACAGCTACAGCGATAATGAACAACGCCATATAATGAACACATCTGTTTCAACGCAGCCGCTGTGATAAGCCATGCCTTTTGAACTGCACACATTCACGAATGAACGTTCATAGCGTCTTTTTGTTTTGCACCATTCGGTTTAAAGGAAGCGGCAAAACTCTGGACCGGTTTCTACATTTTTAAAGTCTCATACAGCAGAATCAGGCTTGTTAACCGAATTATTTTGGCCCCATACAGCTGACGGATTCACGTCTCGTTAAATCAATTCACTGCATCGCGTTACACATTTTTTTCCCCATACTCGTGTGGTTAAGGGGAGTGGAGACCGCGGAATGTAACGTGCGGGAAGAAGAGCATGGAACGGGAGAGGGAAGAAGCGAAAGAATGGAGAATGAGAGGAGGAGGAAGGGGCCGGAGAAGGAACGGAGAGACGGGAGCAGAGGGTTCAGGAGAGACGAGGAGAGGGAGAGAGAGGATAGACGATAATCTAGATGCTGCTGCTGCTGATTGCTGCTGGTGCTGCATGGAGGAGTAGCAGTGTCTGTTTTCACAGCGGGCACGTGAGACTAAACTATAAAACTATTTTTTATTTTTATTTTACCAGCTCTTTTTTTTCAGAAGCAGCCCCGCAGCTCAGCGAAATGGCTGGTCGCCGTGTGGAAATTCGCACCAGCCAAACAATCTGACCGCACGTTGATTCTAAACGTGGAGGACCAGGAGAAGAAAAAAAAATCCACGTGACCACGGTGAGAGAGACACGCAAACTTCAAATATACAGCAGCAGGCGTGAGGGTCGGGATCGAACCCACGACCTCCTGCACACTAGGCGAGGGAGTTAACATCTCGCCGCCGTGACGTCAGCCGTGCAATGCACGTGCGTCTAAAAGGCTTTTATTTATTCAATAAAAAAAAATTGTACAAGGATGTTTGCGTCCTGGATTTGGGCCAAGAAACATTCATAATAATAATATTTTTATTCATTAAATTAATTTTAAAAAGAACGTGAAAATTCTAATGGGCAGCGCTTAGGGGCACTGCTCGGTTAGCGGCACGGCGGTTAGCGGCACGGTGGTTAGCGCATCGTGAGATAAGCCCGGCAAAGTGTAAAACTCAAACACGTTAAGCGACAACATTGTGGCCTTAGAAGGAATATATCTATAATAAGCGACGTTAAGGCAAATTTCCCTCCTTCTGAGCACGTGACAACACGAGCACGATTCCCGGTCACAGCTGACGTGAGTGGCGGAGTGATATCTGAACCAATCCCGAACCAATCCCGAACACCCCCACCCCAAGCTTCACTCAACCCGCACTGATGGTCAACCCGTAACTTTGGGGAAGCCTTCAGCCAGCAGTGAATTGACAAAAGCATTGTACATTATTTTACATTATAACAGTGATTACTGCAAGCTCCAGTAACTGCCTGTACCCCTTCCCAAGTCCCCTGCCCCCAGTCCCCTGCCCCCAGTCCCCTGCCCCCAGTCCCCTGCCCCCAGTCCCCTGCCCCCAGTCCCCTGCCCCTACCCCCAGTCCCCTGCCCCCAGTCCCCTGCCCCCAGTCCCCAGTCCCCTACCCCCAGTCCCCTGCCCCCAGTCCCCTGCCCCCAGTCCCCTACCCCCAGTCCCCTGCCCCTGCCCCCAGTCCCCTGCCCCCAGTCCCCTGCCCCCAGTCCCCTGCCCCCAGTCCCCTGCCCCCAGTCCCCAGTCCCCTGCCCTAGTCCCCTGCCCCCAGTCCCCTGCCCCCAGTCCCCTACCCCCAGTCCCCTGCCCCAGTCCCCTGCCCCCAGTCCCCTACCCCCAGTCCCCTGCCCCCAGTCCCCTGCCCCCAGTCCCCTACCCCCAGTCCCCTACCCCCAGTCCCCTGCCCCCAGTCCCCTACCCCCCAGTCCCCTGCCCCCAGTCCCCTGCCCCCTGTCCCCTGCCCCCAGTCCCCAGTCCCCTGCCCCCAGTCCCCAGTCCCCTGCCCCCAGTCCCCTGCCCCCAGTCCCCAGTCCCCTGCCCCCAGTCCCCTGCCCCCAGCCCCCTGCCCCCAGTCCCCCACCTATCACAACCTCGTCCTCCCGGTTGCACGTACACGGGGTCTCAAGTGTTTGGACGGAACGTTTACAAAGCTCGCAGAGCCATCCTGCCCCAGAGCGGGAAGGAGTCGCGGTCGCCTGCAACGCTAAAACGCCGCAGCATGACGAGGTGCGCGGATCGTCGTTGTGCAGCCTTCTTCAAACGGGAAAAAAAGGTTCAACGACCACGTCCATTCCCCTGTAGCCTTCCGGCGAGGGCGTTCATTCATCACCGGTGGAACAAAGCTTCGCTGGCGGACACACAACGCATTGTGCGTAGGCAATGCCGTTTGGTTTTACTGAACGCTCCCCCCCCCCACCCCACCTGCCCCCCGCCAAAGCCTGGACGAGTCTCACGTCTCGTTCTAAGCAGGGCCCCTTGCTTAACTCGCTGGGCCAAATTGCTTTTCTGTGAGAATGATTTGCACACAGCAGGGAAACCAGAGCACCCAGAGAGAAAAATAAAAACCCTCGAAACTCCTCTGACAGACAACGCCTGCCAGAAGAAATAAAGAATAAAATAAATAAAACCATACTTTCTGTACTGCCCTCTACCTGGCACCGCCTCATCAATGCCTTGCAGTCGGACATCTCACACATCAACACCATCACCGCCATCACCGCCGTCGTCATCGCTCCGTCTGCGCATGACCCGCCAACCCCCACCACTCAGTCGCTGACCTATGACCTATTGGCATGCGAACACCTAGGTCACCTACCTGTTGCTGCCGTATGGAACTTTGTAGATTGTTGGTATCAGCGGCTGTTGCTGCTGCTGTTGCTGCTGCTGCAGCTGCTGCTGCTGCTGTTGCTGCTGTTGCTGCTGCAGCTGCTGCTGCTGCTGCTGTTGCAGCTGCTGCTGTTGCAACAGATGCTGATGCTGCTGCTGCTGCTGCTGCACTTTCGGATCGTGAGCGGCGTTCCCGGCTGGCACGAGGCCCGGCAGCGATGACAGCGAGAGGCGCGGCCCGAGCGGGAGGCCCGGGACGATCGACGCTGCGGCGGCGGTGGCGACGGCCGGCACGATCTGCGCCAGCGTCTGTGGCGCCTGCATCGTCTGCCCCTCGGCCGGCCTCTCCCGCGGGCGCTCGCAGATTACCGCCGTCACCGTGGAGACGGACGGCGCGTACTGCGGAGCCGTCGCCGCTGCCGCCGCCGCCGCCGACGCCGACGCCGCTGCCGCTGCCGCCGGGGCCGCCCCGCGCATCACCGCCGGCATCGCGGCCGAAACGGACGGCGGCAACATCATCTCGTGCTGCTGCTGCTGCTGCTGCTTTTGATGAAGCACGTGCAGATGTTGGTGCTGCTGCTGCTGCTGGTGGTGGTGGTGCGACGCAGCGTGGTGGTGCGCCTGGTGGTGGGACAGCGGGTGGTGGTGGTGGTGGTGATGCGCCGCGGGGTGGTGTTGCGGCTGGCCCTGCAGCTGGTGGTGGGCACGCTGGGCCAGGAGCTGCAGCATCTGTGGCTGGCCCGGCGCGGACGAGCAGGAGGAGGGCGGACGCGCCGGCTCCGGCGAGGGTGGCTCGGCGTAGGGGGCGTACGTCCCGACGCGCGACGACGCCGACGCCGTCACCGACGAGGCGGCCGCCGAAGCCGCCGAAGCCGCCGCCGCCGCCGCGGCCGACGCCGCCGCCGCGGCCGACGCCGCGGCCTTGCAAGCGTGGAACGGCGAGACGGTAGCGCAGGTCTCCTCGATGCCGCTGCCCCCGTCTCGCTGCAGGACGTTGCGGCGGTTGCGAGAGCGCACCCAGCTGCGGTGATGGCGAGCGGGCAGGGGGGCAGGCCGGACAGGCAGGCGGGCGGGCGGGCGAACAAAACCCACATGTCCGACGGTGCAGGGCAGGATGAGAGGAGGGGGTGACGGGTGAGAGGTTGAGAGGTTGAGAGGGTGAGGGGAATCGGGGCATTGGTTGAGAGGTCAGGGACCACAGTCGGGGTGGGATAGAAAGAGAAGTGAACGGAGCGGTGAATGTGCGGGCAAGAGGAGGTGGGGTGATGCGATGAGGTGGTGCGAAGATTGTGGAGAGATGAGCCACGAGAGGTTGGTGGAGAGAGGAATACGGAGGTTTATGGAGAGGGTGCCATTGTGGGTGGTGGAGGAGAGCGTTGGCAGGGATGAAAAAAGGAGAGAGGGACAAGGAGATGGTGGAGACGGTGGCGTGATGATGATGATGATTGAGAGAGTGGACACGCGATGGAGAAGATATCAGTGGTTACACTTTCTTTCGTAGTGTTCAATCGTTTTAAAGAAGACGACTGGTTTCACAGAGTGCCAGCGAGCGTTGGGGAAATAAGTCCCCGTGAGTCTAGCAGATAAACATCGCGACCAGATCATCGTTCAGCACCTGTCCTCGGGTACCACGCGGTGCTGTTTATTACAAAACTCATGAAAAAGTTTCCTAAAGCAGATTTCCGGGTAAAACGTCCGCTGAATAAGGGACGTTTGCCCTGTAGCAGTTTTTGAAATAGGTATCATTGTTATAATAGCATTATCTTGGCAGCTACAAGGTGATAAATATGTTTGATTTTTTGTTAAAATATGATTCATCATCATCATCCATAACAATATCAACAACAGCAATATAATGTTATAACTAAGCTTCCACGACCAATATTACGACTCATAATTCGTTTGTTGAGTTTGGTCGTGCAGGTATTATGTATAGATGATTTACGTATCACCCCGCACAACCCGACAGCGCCAATCAAATCGAATTGTCACGTGGGCAAATATGCACATTTATTAGTTTTTTCAGCAAATTGGTGAAACCTTGAAAGGCAAGCAGTGTTTTTCTCTCCGCCCCCCCCATCACCCACCGCTATCATCATATTCTTCACAATTGCCACCACCATCGTTGTTCTTACTCTCGTCATGATTATAATCATCAATGTCAACGTCATCAATGTCATCACCACCAACAGCATCGCGGCGCTATTCACAACCACGAGCTGTCAATGCAGCGCCTGCAAAAGAGTTCACTTTCAGACGTGCACACTCCTAAAGAGGATATGCATATACATTAGGTTTAATACCACATTGAGGTATTAAAACAAATAATATCAAATAATAATGTAATTTATGATAGAGGAAAATACTCTACAGCCAATGATTGCACAGCCAATCATACAGCCAATGATTGGAACGCGTTCCCCTATGACATAAAGGAGGATTTTACAACCAACATTAATAAAGTGTAATTATAAATAAGCTTGGCCTTTGATAACTTTTTATTATAATGCTGTATGTATGTGATACATTAGTATCAAACTTTGTATTGTTTCCCACAGGAAAATTGTCCCATTTTTACGTAATCGATAAGCTAGCAACAGTCGTGTTTGAAATTTAAAACACGCAGAAATACTACATCATCATTAAGGGTGTAATGATTCATTAGTAAAGGTGTGTAACCATTCACCCCATGACAAATCAATGAATTATAAAGATTTAGTGTCACGATTCGATTCAATAATATATTTTTTACAGTGGTGAATTGTAGCGCCTCTTGTGATGCATGCTAATCTAACAGTGAATATAAAAAAAACATCGACTGTTAGACATAATAATCGATGCGTGTACCGTGAGCTGAAGAATTAACATTAATTTATTCACTTATGTATCGTCACTCCGCTAATCATCATCGTAACCATCATCACCTGGTTCGCAGGACAACAGCAGCAGCAATGACCACGAAGCTGATGGAGCAAATGCTGACGATGGTGGTGACCTGGCGCGCAGTGAGACCTAGAGGGAACACACACAGCCATTCAGCACCATGGACAGGGAACACACGGCCATTCAGCACCATGGACAGGGAACATACACGTTCATTTGGCACCATGGACAGCACACACACACAGACAATTCAGAACCATGGACAGCGAACACACATGGCCGTTCAGCCCCATGGACAGCGAATACACAGAGATATTCAGCACCATGGACAGGAAACCCACACGGCCATTCAGCACCATGGAAATGAAATCCACACACCCATTCAGCACCATGAATAGGGAACATACACGGTCATCCAGCACCATGGACAAGGAACACAACCGGCCGTTCAGCACCATGGACAGCGAACACACAGACAATTCAGTGCCATGGACAGCGAACACACATGGGCGTTAAGCACCAAGAACATGGAACACACACGGCCGTTCAGCACCATGGACAGCGAACACACAAAGCCATTCAGATCCATGGACAGGAACACATACGGTCATCTGTGAAACTACTGGACATCTTCTTCTTTGGTTCTTTCGGTAAAGTCACGTAGAATGAGAATAAAATAATAAATTGATAAAATATAATAACACAATAATATTCTCACGACGTTTCGGCCAGAACACAAGCGGCCTTCATCAGGTGAAGGGACGAGACTGTCTGGAGGACAGCGCTGTCCTCCAGACAGAACCAAAGAAGATGAATCCTTGCAGTCACGAAAGCTTTAAATCGAAATACTGGACATCTGTGAAAAAGAGCTTCTTAGCTCATCAGATTTCTCCAGTATAAATATATCTTCTGATTCTGCCATTCAGAACCATGGACAGCGAACGCACTCGGCCATTCAGAACCATGGATAGAGAATACAGAGAAGGCATAGCTACAACCACAAGGTATGACGCAATTTATATTGTTGTTTTAGGTATTTGCATTGCAACGTGGACCTTTACGTTAAATAAGGGATCTTTGGATATAACATGTTTTCAGCTCACCAGCATTGGCTCAAGCACACTTGACTGCTGATGAGACACAGTACTCCGACATTGTACACTCTCAGATAACTTTGTGGTTGACGGGAAGTATAAAAATGTATGCATTTGTTACGTGGAGGGACAGCTAAATGAAGGAGATATATTGTCTGCTCATTTATTTTGCTGGTTGATTGGATAGTCTGGGGCCTGACTTTGAAAGCAAGCACAGACTGTGATAAAATTGTTTCTTTTGAAGTGGATTATGTACTGCAGCCGAACTCTGCCATACATTGTATACATTTTACACGTCTCATTATACCATAATGTAGCTTTTTTACCAAATTACCCAGCTACTCCCGATTGTGCTAAATCTGTGAAGCCAATCAGGGTTGCGTTTGCACATTGTCAGAGCGCACTATTACCTCGCTTTTTATACAGGTAGTCGTGGGTTCGATTCCTACCCTGACGCCTGTATATTTGGTGCTTGTACGTTCTCCCCGTGGTCATGTGGATTTTTCTCCGAGTCCTCCCGTTTTTCCCTCCACGTTTAGAAACATGCATTTAGAGTATTTGACAACTATAAATTTCCACATGATGATACACCACTTTGTTGAGCTATTATTTGTGGCCAGGTTACTTCTGAAACAAAGCCATATAATAGCTCAGTGGGCCTTACCTGGTGATGCATTTTTTTTTCATTTAGTCTAAATAGTGTATTGTGCGTGCATTTAATCCGGAAGATCCCGATGAGCTATGGAGCTTTGCGTCTCGCACGGTTGTCCATCCATGGGCAGGGGTCGGCAAGGGGGTAAAATTGCAGAGGGAGTTGCATGCTGGAGGTATATATATTATTTACAACAGCGCGGTTTGCTTTTATTTGAAAGAAATTGTAAGCAGAACAGTTTGTGCACACTATTTATCGTAGTTAAGCACACGCTCAGTTATTATGAAAGTGGTGTCAATGTGGCATGATGACATTTGCGCAATGATCATCATCTTATAGACTGAGTCACTCGTACAAACTACAAGTGCCTGTGACAGGGCACGCTCTATCTTTCATTATTTAAGGCAACAGCTCTGGCTGGATGGTGTGACAACTTAAAGAATGTTAAGAGCAGTGGCATTGATTTATATATTCACGTAGGCCTCGGTAAGTGGCAAGATTATTTTTCATGGGACGCATGGCATTTTTGAGGGTGCAACGCTCAAATATGCACACGGATTGATTCAATACTCTTTTTCTGTATTTCCATCTAATGGCCTAAATAGAGGTCAACAGAGCTTGGGCAAATGTTGGTGGTGACTCACTGACCAGCTGCGTTTCACCTCAGGATCGAACCCACGACCTCCTGCATACAATGCGAAGTAGCTAACATCTCATCACCGACACAATGCGGGAGTGAGCCTCTTTTGAGACCCTGTGGTCTTAATGATAGAAAATTATTGCGCAGCATCTGCCAAAGTTGCCGAGGTTATTTTTTTCATCATATCCAATTATTATTTTTACTGTGACTAATAACCAAATACATCTAAAAGTAACGTTTAAACTGGCTTGTACATCGTCTAGACACCCCATCAGACACTGGTCTGTCTGTTTATTGTCTAAAGACCATATCAGAGACTGGTCTGTCAGTCTATTGTCTAAAGACCCCATCAGACACTGGTCTATCAGTCTATCAGTCTATTGTCTAGACACCCCATCAAACACTGGTCTATCAGTCCATTGTCTAGACACCCCATCAGACACTGGTCTGTCTGTTTATTGTCTAAAGACCATATCAGAGACTGGTCTGTCAGTCTATTGTCTAAAGACCCCATCAGACACTGGTCTATCAGTCTGTCAGTCTATTGTCTAAAAACCCCATCAGACACTGGTCCGTCAGTCTATTGTCTAGACACCCCATCAGACACTGGTCTATTGTCTGTCAGTCTATTGTCCAGAGATCCCTATAAAAAACACTGGTCTGTCAGTTTATTGTCCAGAGACCCCATCAGACACTGGTCTGTCAGTCTATTGTCTACAGACCCTATCAGACACTGGTCTATTGTCTAAAGACCCCATCAGGCACTGGTCCGTCAGTCTATTGTCTAGACACCCCATCAGACACAGGTCTTTCAGTCTATTGTCTAAAGACGCCATCAGACACAGGTCTGTCAGTCTATTGTCTAAAGACGCCATCAGACACTGGTCTATCAGTCTATTGTCTAGAGACCCCATCAGACACTGGTCTATCAGTCTATTGTCTAAAGACCCCATCAGACACAGGTCCGTCAGTCTATTGTCTAGAGATCCCATCAGACACCAGTCTATCGTTAAGACGCAGTAGCGTCACTGAACAGTTTGTTTAAAACAAATGAACAGCAGCGGCGTATTGTGGGGCCACCAGGAGAGAGGAAAAATTTGCTCAGCTGCATGAAACTACTTAAGTGATATCTTCCTTTACTTTGCAATCTACTGGAGCGTGACTCCTCACGTCCCACACGCCTAGGCGTTTTACATGTCAAGAAGCTGGTACCTTCGGAGCAGTTATGGGATCTGGGTCGGACAAGAGATGGCTCATAACAGTTGATCCAATGACAACGACTTAGGATAAACAAGCAACTCCAGCTGGGAGTGGTGTCGACTTGATTGCCAATAGGGCTAGGTGTACGAGTGAGTGGTAGATGGATGGTGGGTGGTTGAGTGAGTGGATGGGTAATTGGGTGAGTGGATGGGTGTGTAAGTGGGTGAGTACGTAGGTGAGTCGGTGAGTGAGTGGGTCAGTGAGTGGTTGTGTAAAAAAGTGAGTGAGTGGGTGGGTGGGTTGGTGAGGAGACGGGTGGATGAGTGATTAGGTGAGTGAATGGCTGTGTATGTGATGGATGGGTCAGTGCGCGAGTGGGTGAATACAACTTCCTAGATGTAAGAGTCGCGTTTTTAAACTTGTATATGTCGTAAGAAATGCGTTCACTTGATACTAGGGACCGCGACGTTCATTACAACGTGAAAAAAAGAATTCCTATTTAATTGTCAAACCGAATTGTGAGCAACCTTGAATCTCAACGACTCATCGGTTTGTCACGGCCGACCTGTGGAGCAACTGACGCATGCCATGGTAATGTTGAATTTCCATCACTGGCTCAGCATCTCTCCCGAAGATGAGCGTCGACCGAATGCTCACTCGAGCAGAGGGAGATGCTATTGATCCGTTACATGACCCATTAGGTTATCCATTAGGTGACCCGCTAGGTGACCCATTAGGTGACCGATTAGGTGATCCATTAGGTGACATTAGGTGATCCATTAGGTTACCCGTGAGGTGACCCATTTGGTAATCCATTAGGTGACTCATTAGGTGAGCAGCTAGGTAAGCTCATTAGGTGACTCATTAGGTGAGCCGTTAGGTGACCCATTAGGTCACTCATTAGGTGAGCCGTTAGGTGACCCGTTAGGTGACCTGTTAAGTGACATGTTAGGTGAACCGTTAGTGACCTGTTAGGTGACCCGTTCGGTGGCCCATTAGGTGACCCGTGACCGGCTCGCTTGTCTTCCGAGCCGGCCCGGCCGGGCGCCACGAGGCTCGCTGCCCCCCGATGCTGCGCTGCCGAATTCTGGCGGCGGCGGCGGCGGCATCAGCGACAACTCCGATGAGACAACAGCAATGACAATGACAGCAACCCTGCCGACACCCTGTCAGCACTCTACCAGCACTTAAGGACATTTGCCTTCGTTTAGAGAAGCCCACCTTTGCAGCGTTATTGCGAGTACTTCATTAAAATGCGTAGACTAAATATATATGAATGCGTATAATACAAGGTTGGTTTTCTTAGTTTTTGCTGCGTGCCTACACTCACAACAGTGTGAGTCGGGCAACATCTGGAGCAACGATTACCATTTAAAGGACATCGCAAAGGGGGGTGGTGATGATGTTGGCGTGGCTCACGGATCTATCATTTGCGTGATTCCTTCCTTTCCGCTTTACTCGGTCAACAGACGCCTACGGCGCACGCAGTTCTACCGCTGACAATAAAAAAAAATTCTGTGCTCTCTGCAGACGCGTCTTGTTA